AGTTGGCTACAATTTTGGATATTAAGTTAGTATGCAAACCACTTTCTCTTTTCTCTTTTCTCTTAATCAACATTTTTATCTATGAGTACACGCGGAGATTGGCTCTTACATGAGAGCTCACTCTTCGATTTCATTGTCTCTTAATTATAAGGCTAGTCATAGTAGGAGTAATAGCTAGTAACATAACATATCCCAAGACAAGTTTGCTTATGTGGCAGCTAGTTAATAAGGAGAGAGGTGTTTAGAGTAACATATTATGTTAACATCACATAGTGTTTACCAAGAAAGTTTGAGTCTACAAGCTAATAAATGCAACCATATATGATACTAGTACTTTTATGTCACTTTGCACTATGAAGGTAGTAACATAGATTAATGTCATAGACACTAGTCTAAGTTATTCCACACTATGACTAGCCTAACCCACTTACATGACATTTACAATGCAAAAAAGAGAGAGGAGTGAACTCTCATGCAAGAGTCAATTTCTACACGCATTCCTATGCAAAATGAGTAAATTAGTGAGAGGAAGGAGAAATTTAGAAAGTGGAAAAAAAATACTAACCTAATAGCCAACCAAATTATATGCCATGGCACGGTATTTTGTAGGTGGCTATATTATTATGAGTAATCCTAGACTTACGAAGACTAGCGCAAGTTTTTACGTAAATTTCCATGAATACTTCTCTCCCTCCTGAATTTAAGTGGGTTGCGGCCCGTCTCTCCCTAACCCCAGTCATAACTTGCCAGTTGTCTAGTCACATAAAAATTGTGTGAACCCCTTTGTAGGTGTAGCATTACTCTAATATTATTTTCTACTCTAATCTACAACACGCTTCTGTTCTCTCCCATCTTTTCTTTTTTCCAACCCATCAGAAATACAATATGACAATTTTTATAGTTTGCCTATATCACAATGATGCACGTCCTACAACGATTGAAAATAAAGAAACCAGACTCCAATTTATCATTTCAAAGTCGCACATTTCGAAACAATGGTGGCAACAGCTACGTATAGGCACTGTTGTTGTAAAGATATTTCGCTGCCACCCACGTATACCACAGCTACGATAAGTCCAAAGCGCCAGCCCAGCGGTATCTGAATCTCCCGTCAAGCAAAACAATGGCGTCACTGTCGACAACAGCAAGCACCACGATTCCAAATCCATCCGTATCTCAACCATCTCCGCTGCCAGCTTAGCCTCTTGCTTCGATCATTACCTAGACTTCCCAGCCCCCATGGATCACATTCACATCTCTCATACTATTATATATACTACACAGAATATGAATCAAGTTGAGAGTTTCTTTTTTCCATTTTTCCATGGCCGAGAGAGTTGAAACGCGAACATGTCTCGAGATCCACGACAGCTAATCATAGAGCAAAAACAAACCCGCCCAACAGCCAGCACCGCGCACGTAGCTCGTACACGGCGGCGTATTATACGTACGTACGCACCTCGCCGGAGTTTTGTAGTACTGCTGCCCGCCCGATGACACCACCGGGCTGATGTGACAGTACCGGTGTTCATATTTGTCCTGTGCGTCGACGTATCCCGGCCGGCTGGATCCCGATGAACAGCGGCTAGATTCCAGCACGTACGTACATACCGCAAATAGTCAGAGCATAATATCGGCCGGGAAACTCTATGTAAACTGTTACCGTCTCGATCGAAGACTCTGCAGGCTAGCTAGATGACAAGAACGCATGAGGATTTTATAGGCCGGGACTTAGTTAAGTGAGTGAGTGATGTCTGTACACCACCTCCTACAATCATGGAGCTAGCGTGAGAGTTATAAACTCCTCCTACCGGTCCCTGTCAAAAAAAAAAAAAACTCATGCTACCCAGTTAGAGGAGGACAGTGGCTTGCGTCCGTACGCGTTGGTACATTTTTCTGGTGAAAAGTATGTATCATGCATCCGTCTCACCGACTGTGATGACTAAGAAATGACAGACCAGTTACACAAGCACACCAGCGTGAGCTCCTCTCGTCATCGTCGCCCACCTCGTGGTAGTTCACAGGATGGAACCATTGAAGGGAACCAGCGGTATTCGCACGGCTTGATTGTTAGCTACTGCCTCTAAAACGCTCGTATATTAATTTACGAAAGGAGTACGTACCTCGCATTGAAAGTAGGTTCGACTGTTAACAAGGTCAGATTCAAACTCGGCTCAACTCCGGTAACTCGCGAGCTAGCTCATATTAGTCGAGAGCATAATAATATTAATCATTTTTTAGCAAACTTTGATAGGACTGAGGATCGCATTGTTGTTCAGATCCAGTCCGGGCTGGACAAAATCCCTAGCTAGTATGTGTAGGGATGAACTGATTTGCTCTTGATTAATACACCCTTTTTACCCCTGCAAAAAAAACTAGCTAAGCTCGTTATAAATGTGAATAACAAAATATGCGTTTCATGTATGCAATTAACCTAAAAAAATGTAGACACATATTTTTTCTTCACAAATCACAACAATCGATAATCTACGTTAAAGAAACAGTTGCTGCACTCCATGTATGACAACAATCAACAACAATATTGGTACTTATCGCATGTCACTTCTAATTAATGAGTTAAACGAGTAACTCGTTAGCTCTATTCGTTAAACTCATTATGTTAACATGTTCAAATCAAAACTCGACTTGACTCATTAGCCACCGAGTTCTAGCCGAGTTGTGCTGATTGAAGTAACATAGAAACTCGGGTTCTGCCAAGGCAGGAGCAGGAGGTGTTGCTCGATCTTCCACTACTTTGCTAGGCATTTGGTATAAACCACACCTTGGTGTTGCTTCATCATTTATTTCTTTGGACTCTGAACCATCCTTCATGATCATCCGCCTTTTGGTTAATTGTCCCAGGAGCACTTTTGTTTGAATAAAACTATCTGAATTCCCAGCAAAAAAGTAACATAGAAACATGGACTCTTGTCGCTTGAATGTTGAAACTACTAACATACAACAATAACACAGAGAGCGGCAGGGGCACAAAGCCGCACGGAGAGGCGACCGGCGACGCAACATTCACTAGGACTAGGAGTTAGCAGAGAATGATCAATTCAGTATTGGATCGATAGCTTGGTGGCTGCTTATGAACGTTTGGTGCAATTCAAAATTGGGCGTTCAAAGCAACTACTGCATCCTAGTTTAGCGTGCACTCCAGCCCAAGCCCAAACTCCTCCCCTCCTCAACCTCACGTCATGTATCACTTCACAGAAAGACGCACACGGCC